CGAATTAGTTTGCCCGACAGAGACGTAATAACAAAAACAGTCGCGATATGAAGTAGAAAATAAAAAAAAATATAAAAATTATATATATATATATATATATATATATATATATATATATATATAATATATATGCATAGTCGTAAACGTATAATATCTAGACCTCTACATCTCCCGTAGTCAGAATGCGTCAAAAAATAGAAAGAGATAGCTGTATGATCACCAATCTGTCCTTTTCCAATGATGCGTGATAGGGTAAAGAAGCCTTCGTTAATTGGAAAAAGAAAAGTAGAGAGGATGAAAAGACGAAGATAGAAAATGATGATACAAAGCATGCTATCTCTGTCTAATATCTGACCCGCACTTCTTAACACTTGGTCTAGATATACTATGTAATAATACATAAAATATTTTGCCAACGAAATATCAACAACCATGTGTTTAGCCTTGGCGGCGCGCCGTAAACATTGGCGCGCTATTATTTACATATCTCGACTCTGTTATCATCCGCGCGACAACACTCGAGCAGGAAAGTATAGTTTTGCGAGACGCTTCGTCGAATTCCTTGCCTAAATATGATCGCAATCACTATCGGGAAATTATTTACTGTTATAATATAATTGATAATTAATTAATATTTATAAATAATATATAACTATATATATATATTGTGACGATAAATCTCGAATCGCATATTTCGTATTTTATTCATTTAATCAAATATAAGAATTAGAGTAATGAGAAACCAAATTATAAATTATCATTTCGTTGCGATCTTTACGGACAATAATTATTTCTTTAACAACAAATAGAATCAAATATATTTTGTCCACGATGCTATCATTTGACTATCATTTGACTTTTTGATCGACGATCTAGATATAATTTGGATTATGAACGTGCTGTAAAACGATCGAATCGCAAAATCGATTAATTAACATAACGATAAGCTCCGCGATACATTAATCATTTAATAAATAATTGATCCATAATTTAAAAAACTTATATAATTTAATATTTTGCATATATATTTTATAGTACGTAAAATATTTCGGCAGCGAATTAGCAATACCTAATATGGTATTCGGCCTTGGCGACATAAACATTGGCGTGCTATTGTTTACGTATCACGGCTTTGTTATCATTCATACATCAATACTTGAATAGAACTGTAGTGGGGCGAGACGCTCAAATTCCTTTCCTATGTGTTATATGATTCACACGGCAACACTCGAACAGTAAAATAGCAGTGCAAGACACTTCGTAAAATTTCTTTCCTAAACGCGATCACGACAAGTATCGGAAAATAATTTGATAAGATTAATAATTAGTTATCTTTTATATATTTTAAATAATAAATATAATTTAATATTATAAACGTAATTATATCGCTACGATAGGTTTCGAAGAGCGCATTTCGCGTGACGTATATACACATTTAATCAAGAATTGAAGTGATAGAAAAAATCAAAATTATGAATTATTGTTTTGTTGCAATCCTTATAAGCAATAATTAGTTCTTCAAAAATACTTCAATTTAAATATATCTTGTTTGACGCTTTATTGTTCGACTTTCGATTGCATGTAAATATGATTCGAATTAAGATCGCGCAATTAAACAATCGAATCGCAAAATCGAATAATTAACATAACGAAAGGCTTCATCAATCGTGATATATCAATCGTTCAATAAATAATTAATCATAATTTAAAATATATGCTTTATATATTTTAATATTCCGCGTATACATATATAATAAAATATACGTAAAATATTTTGGCGACGACTTTTCAATAACATATAGTATTCGGCCTTGGCGCCCCTATTGTTTACATGTATGGTCTTTTTATCATTCATACGGCGACATTCAAGCAGTAACGTAGTGGTACAAAACGCTTCGTATATTCTTAAATTTAATTAATTGCTATGATTATTATAATTAACGATTAATTATAATTTTCAATAAAAGATACAAAACTGTATTGCAAATATAAATAATTAAGTAATATAAATTTTTATTAAATTCTCAATAGCGATATATTAATTAAACGATTGCTATATAATTCTTGCAACGATGCGCATGATTTTGGCCTCGTGTAAATGAGTGCGAATCATACTTTCTGTATTACTCTCTTATGATATAATAATTAAAGTGTATATCTCGTATAATTGTTCCGCGATCAAGAGTGCCGTGCGAAATATTTCGCGATCACCGCATACGACTAATCATAATTAATCGTGTTTTCGTGAGTGAGTGTAAGTGCCACGAGGAAGCAGCAAAGGATGAAAAAGAGAGAAAAAGAAAATCTGAAGCAACATCAGGCGACGTACGGAGCAACGATATGCAGTAAGTAATTTATAAATTTGATTATCATTTGTATTATTTTTAAGATATATATACATATTGCTCGTTCTTTTTTTCATTTTTTCGATAGTTCGATTTATTCGATATTATCATGCAATATATAATACATATATAAAATATTCCAAGTTTTATTTTAATTGTAATAGCAGGAATCTTTAAAATAATAAATTATCATATCGTTGCGATCTTTACGGACAATAATTATTTTTTTAACAACACAGAGTCAAATATGTTTTATCCACGATGCTATATCATTTGATTTTTCGACGATCTAGATATAAAATTTATTGGATTAAGAACGTGCTGTAAAACGATCGAATCGCAAAATCGAATAATTAATATAACGATAAGCTCCGTGATACATTAATCGTTGAATAAATAAAATTGATCTATAATTTGAAATACTTATAATTTAATATTTCGTATATTTTTATAATACGTAAAATTTTATAGTATGTAAAATATTTTGGCAGCGAATTAGGACAATACTGAACATATAATATTTGGCCTTGTCGGCATAAACATTGACGCGTGTAAACATTGTTTACGTATCATGACAACCTTGTTATGATTCATACGGAGACACTTTTGAATAGAAACTATGTATTTCATTTTACATGCGTCGTATAAAATATACATAAAAAAATTTCAATTATAATTTATTATCGCTGTTCGTATTATATATTAAAATGACAAAACATCACGCGCAGCTAATAAAACCTTAATAAATCCATAATATTTCATTGCAATTTTTATCCACAAGAATGAATTTAGCACGGACACGAACCAACCGGCCGTTTTACCGTGCGAAAAGTGAATTTGGCCATGTAGTTCCGCCGGCTCTAAAATGAATTCAGGTGGCGCTACTGCGCCAACTAGAAAAAGCGTTTTACGAAAAACGGTGGCGCGACCCCTCTCAGGCTTTTCCCTGTTATATTTTTATATCTTACAAGTGCCCAACTTCAGACAAGGAGACGAAAAAGGGGTTCCGCATGTGGTTATGTCTTTTATTTACTTTATAAGTAGACGTATTTAAGAATATAAGATAAATATTCGTGATTTCAAGTTGAAAGTCTTGCGAATGACAAATGGAGAGTTCTACAAGCGGCGAGAATTCATCGAGCAATCAAGCTCCCGCGCGTGGCGAGAGAGTAAGCAGCGGTCAATGAAATTATTTGATTAAGGTATAATTACTGAAAGAAAATAAATTATTTCAACTATCTATCCTATGTAGAAAAGTCGAGGCTCGAGGCAAAAGGATGTAGATAATTCAAGCAAAAAGTTTCTGCGAAATTTCGATCCGGAGCGCAGCGAGCGTGAGAAACGTAAGCTGTATCGTCGATTGTATCACAGCCACAGGAGGCATTTGTACGATGACAAGGGTATCTTCATACAAACGTCGGACGATCTTTGCGATTGCTTGAGCTTGCATTGCCCCGGATGTCACCTTCCGTGTCTCAAGTGCTCTTCCCTAAAGTGCGGTCATGAATGCAGGTATTTTAATAAGAGTTTCCATATCCAATGAAGGCCTGGTTTCTTTTGTCGCGAAGTTATTTATTTCCGAGTTGGTCGTCTATCGTCAGGAATAATCGCAAATGGACCTACGACACTATTCACTGCGAAGGAACTGATCCTGTGATAAAAAATCCATTGTTGAAAGAGTCCGAAGCAAAATGAGAGCGATAAATAATAATTGCTCTATAACAATTGCAATCTATAAGAATATCTGTATATAAAATAACTTCAACAAAGGCTGAATTCTTATTATTATCTTTTATGAGGTGTAGTTGTATGATAAATAAAAGCGAATTTATAAAAAGTTTGAAATGTACTATATGTCACGAGAAAAGGGTTTAATGATTCTTCAACAGCATGGTCAAACAATTTTTAAATAATGCCACGCAACTTAAAATATTTTACATTATTTAATCTGACAGACGAGTGACGTATTACACCTGGAATTGTTTTACGTAGGAATGGCAACAGATATAATTTCGACGAATATAATTCTTGAGGCTGAAGCAGCGTATAAAAATGACAATTCCAGCGCTAAAAATTGGCACGAAAGATTTATTTTTGCATATCGAAAATCGATTTCATCGAAATGATGACGTTTATCCATTTTCCAAAGCGCGCCCAGAATGCACGCTCGTGCGGCACGTCACTGCGTCGCACACGCTCTCACACACATACATGAAAGCGCTATTGATTTTCCGCGCGACGCTTTCGGCGTCGGTGCGCACCTTTGGCACGCACACACGCGCACGCGGAGGGCGCGCGCTTCATTTTCGTCCGCGAGATCGTCGAAAACTCGCGGATTACCTGAAAGAAAGAAATCCGGAAAAAAGGAAAGAGCGCGAGAAAAAAATACCGTCATGTCAATCGCGAGAGAGTCGCGAGGGACCCGACTTCGTTGTTAGTCCGTACGTAAAAGTGACGCGAGCCCGACCGTCGTCGTCGGTCAATTTGACAGTCGCGCCGCGTCTCCGAGAATAGCGGGTCAGGGGGTTGACGTTCGGGAGGCGCGCTCCGCGCTAGTTTGCCGCGTCGGTTGGTTCGTCGCGATTCGTGACAGGCGTGTAATCGACGAGGGAGAAAGAAAGAAAGAAAGAGAGAGAGACGGGGAACGAAAGGAAACGTCGTGTCCTCTCTCCGTTCGTGTTCGAGGGTAACTCGCCGCCACCGGGATACCGGACGCACGCATCTGTACGGAATACGCGCGAGTGACAGCCGCGAGGAAACGATCGTCGAGGCCTCTCCGTCGTCCGTGTGATCGTCTGTGTAAGTGCGGCTGTCGCGCGATCGAACGGGATTCCGGAATCGAGGAGGGAAGCTTCCAGGTGTAGCAGGCCGCAGCAGGTTTTCTCATTTTTCTATCGGAATATAATATATTTCTCATCCGCCCTTCGCCCTCCCCGCCGTTCTCCCGTCCAGGACGATGCAGTTACCGCGATCGGTCGAGTGTGACGAACGTCGCGTTACGACGATAATGATCGGGGGGATTAATATTGTCGCCTGGGTCTCTTCCTCTCGCATTGCAATTTTACTTCATCTTCCTTCGTCCTGACGATAAGTGCGAGAGCAATACTCGTGCTTCGATTTATGGCAATGTAAAAAAGTTGAGACAGAAATAGCGTCATCGTGAGTACATCATATTTATTAAATATGTGCGACAAACATGCACGAATCTTTCAATTGTCTCTCAAAGTCCGATAGATTAATTAAGCTTCGATCGCAGTTTGAGTCGTTATCTTCGAAGGGATGGAGCCCGACGAGACAGGTCAAGTTGACAGTGTCAACGCGCGTGGAAATGCCTCGGATCTTGGCAATGTCCTCCTAAAAATTCTGTCATTGAAAGATTATTTTGCGACGAGGATCGCCTCTAATAAAGACGCATTATATTCGAAACGAATCAGTCGATCGAAAATGAAACACGCAATCGTCGTGTATTCGTGATATTGTACGATATTATAGACTTCGTGATTTCAATGATAACGAAAATTACAGGGATGGGATTCGACGAGATCGATTGGGGTAATCGTTACACTAGGAGGATAAATATAGCACACATATACACACATACACACACGGTAATGATAATTTTCTATGGTATATTACAAATATTTTCGAACTCTGTTTTTCCACCTGTATTTATATCGGATATATAATAATAGTCGTTCGTATCTAAGGATCGTTAATTTTACTATTGGAGGATATTTCAGTGCTCGCAATTACCCTGATTGCTTCTGTAATTTTGGCGAATTCACGTTTCGATGTCACACACACACACACACACACACACACACACACACGAGACAGAGAGAACCGTCCTTATTTCTGCCAATGCAAACACTGATGATAGGTAAGGTGTATTTAGCATCTGTATACGTCGAGAATGAAATTTACCGAAATTTGGCCGGTGTGTTTGATCGGAAAATTCCAGTTTCGTTTAATTCACGAATCCTTTTCCGCGTCTTTGATCTTTTTGAGCCATTCGAGCTGACAGAATTGACAGAAAATCATTTCTTTATATAATTAACTCTTATATTGTATAATTTTTAATATCAGATATATTAATTGAAATTCTCGATTACTTTACATATATTGCTATTCTCAATCATATATATAATATCTGTAATTATATTTCTACATTCAAATAGGAAAAAAACTATTTTTTTTTTTTTTTTTCGAATCGTACTGCCTTTGAATAGGACTCATCAAAACTGTTTCACCTTGATTGCATTTCCTATACTTTATATCTTTTCTCCTTCTCACTCTGTGACATATCGATTATTTTCATTTTAAATGCACAAATTGCAAGAGAACATACAATTATGACAAACTCATTCGGTTTCTTTCAACTTTAGCTTCATTCCCTTCTTAGCTTCACCCTCTAAAAAAAAAATAAATTAAAATTTACATAAAAAAAAGTATATTCGCGGACTTTAAGTGGAGGAGGAGAGAAAACTGCAGGAAGGTATAGAAGACGCAAGTGAAACGAACAGACTTTTCGCGGACGGTGAACGCACATGGTCGCATCGGTTGCGAGAAAGCTCTTAAAATTATTTTAAAAGTATTTTTTATACATTTGTAAAGGAAATATTTTTATATATTCTCGGAATATTTAAATTTAAATATATAAATTTGAGGACATTAGGGGAAGAGATATATATATATATATGTTATCGAGGAAGCGCACGAGATAGCGAGACCCGCGCAAGGCTGTGTAGGAGGAAGGGACCCATGCAGTAGGGAATGCGGCTTCGTGGGTGTCGTCACCGGAGAGTCTACGTCACGAGATACGCGCAGGAGGACGGACGGATGTAACCTTTCACGGGTTCAGATTATTAACCGCGTGGGCGAAGCGCGAGACGGAGATCTATGGCGTGCGCATCATTTATACGGGGTGTTCCGGGACCGTCGGATGTCCTTTTGCATCAGAATTCCCGGGCGATCCGAAGACGATTCTTCCTCGCGACCAAGATATCGAGACGATCAATTTTTGAAAGAAGAGAGAGAGAGACAACGACGTTTGTGATTAATTTCAAGATATTAAAATTTTTTTCACGGACATTTTTAATTCGCGGATTAATTACGGTGCTGTTGAAAAATTGAAAAAAAAAATGCGAGAAACGTCAAAAGGAGATCGTCTTCGAATTGACCGATTAAAGGGACATCGGGGGTGGTTCCGTGGATCACCTAGTACAGCTTTTGCGTGTCGTGCGACAGGTCGAGCGGTGTTCGGGGGTTGCGAGGAGAGGTTTTTTGCGAAGAGTGATCGTCTCGTACACATACCCACGCTCCCCATCCCTTTCCCTCCCGCGACCACCCACTCACCCCCTTCCCCTCGTCGTCTATCTCGCTCTCTCCGTGCGCAAGGGACCCCGAGCGTCGGGGGTTTACGTTGCCGGGACGGCAGATGTCAGGATGCCGGAGCAGAGCAACGACTATCGTGTGGTCGTGTTCGGGGCGGGCGGCGTCGGCAAGAGTTCCCTCGTGCTGCGTTTTGTGAAAGGATCCTTCCGCGAGTCCTACATACCAACCATCGAGGATACTTACAGACAGGTGAGTGTGAATCGGCCAGGGCGCCGGCGTGATTTCCTCCCAAAAAATGCACGTTCTTACAATTTACACATTTTTCACAACCGGCGACGATCCTCTCTCTGATAAATAATGTAATTAATTTTAGAGATAATGATTACGTGTGTTGGGGATTAATTTAAACGAAGCAAAAACTTAACTTCTCTGCTTCTCTGTTTCTTTTTTTTTTTTTTTGGAATAGGAATAAAGATAGAAAATTAACGAGGGAATAATTGATTTTATAACTAATATTTAAATTTTAATAGAAGTTAAATAGTAGATTTTAATTAATATTTAATTACGACACCATCACGTGCACAATGTATTAATTTGATGCATGCTACATACTAGGTTGCAATCCCTGGGAAAAAAAAATAATCAAACGTCTTTGCTGGCACCTGCATCGCCGCAAAATTATAGATCGGATTCCGTCATAAATTATAAATGCTGTAAAACAGGCTTTACGCGTCAGACGCTACGTAGATAATAATTTCCGCGTCGAAATTTAACGATTAATCGAATGTCCTCGTGTCTCGCACGCGCACGTCGCGGGATTGCGATAACTTTGTCATTTACGAATTTAATATTTTCATTCGTATATCCGGCTAATAATATGTAAGTGAGGAATAATAAGATATAAAGAGACGATAAAGACACGAAATTGGCAAATGATTCGCGATTGTAACGTCGAGAATATCTAAAAAGCATGCACTAGTAGTAGTGTTATATAGTCGTAGTAAAGTAGAATTAATATCATAATAATGTATGCTAATGGGGAAATACCTATAAGTTAAAAGCACACGCATGTTATGATAGATTTATGTTTCATAGAAGAGAAAGAGAGAGAGAGGGAGAACATCGTATCATATACAGTAAATTAATTACATACTATAACACATGATACGAGGTAATAATAACGAGATTTATCACATAAACTCTACATACTCTCACGTTGTTTATAGGAAATTGAGATCTTTGTGTAATACTATTTTCTCATTGATAATACGTAGATGTAAATTCGCACACATGTCAAACTTTAATTATTCGTAAGTAAGTCAAAATAACGTCACAATGACAATTTTTTACTTACCATAAATATTATATAAAATATTTAGTTTATATTTTAATAATATATCGAATAAATTTTTTTATGATCTCTTCTCTTAATGTATACAAGATACGTATAAAATATTTATATAATATTTCAAAAAATAAATAGTAGTAAATATTTATGAATATTTATCATAAATATTGTGTGCTATCTGGGTATCGTAAATTTTAACAAAGACACACGTGTACACGACGTATGTTGCAATAACGATGCTGGTGGGATTCTCGCTGTGTGCGCGACGAGAAGTGTTGTCAATGAAATCGCGCGGGACTCGAATATCATTCACGATTACGACTCGACTCAATTCGATCCGCGATCGACGCACAAGGGATCAAGAATCGAGGGGGAGTCGAGTCGTATCGCGGATCGATCGGATCGAGCCCGTCGCGCGATCGTCCAACGGTGTGACCGTGTGTGTACGGCATTTCAGGTGATAAGTTGTGACAAAAACATATGCACACTTCAAATTACGGACACAACGGGGTCCCATCAGTTTCCCGCTATGCAGCGGCTTTCTATAAGCAAGGGTCACGCCTTCATCTTGGTGTACTCGGTATGCTCACGGCAAAGCCTCGAGGAGCTACGACCGATCTGGGCCGTGATAAGGGAGCTCAAGGGCCAGGATATCTCGCAGATACCCATCATGTTGGTAAGAACACGCCACTCAACCCCTTCATTTCTTTCGGCTATGAATTTCACACTTCCAAATACCAATTAACTCCCGATTGATTTTTTTTTATATATATGTCTGACTTGTTCTATATACTTGAGAGAATAATCGTATAGTTCTTGAACGCGATATTTTTTTACGTCAGCGATAATAACTACTTGCAAAAGCTTGCGTAATATTTACGATCATCGCGATGTGTCCGCTTAAATTTTTCTATTTTATCATTCGTTATCGATCTTGATAAATTAAAAAAGAATTTATTCATCTATGGTATATATAGCAATGCTTTCGTCGTTTTAAGGTCAATCGTTAAAGGGACGTTAAGTTTACCGAGTTTCTATTTTCACTGAAAAATTTGTCCAAGAACCTCAAACAAAATTGAAGCGCTGTAAATTAATATATTCTATTGTTGCGAGATTATATAATAATCCGATTGACTTTGAAGTAAATTTTTTCACGAAAAGAAAAGGGACTTTTATTCCTGCACGAGAAATTGTTTTGTTTGTCAATGTTCCTCTTTCGAAAAATTTGGTGTCTCGTTTACCTTTTAACGTCTCGGCGGTAACCATCCACACTCAGGTCGGGAACAAATGCGACGAGAGCCCGTCGGTGCGCGAGGTGTCGATGAGCGAGGGCGCGGCCGAGGCGGCTAATTGGGGCTGCGGCTTCCTGGAGACCTCGGCTAAGACGAATCACAACGTGGACGCCCTGTTCCGAGACTTGCTCACCCTCGAGAAGAATCGCTCGGTGTCGTTACAGCCGGTGCAGAGCAACAACGCTATAAGACTCAAGGAGAAGTGTGCCGTTATGTAAAGCCCCCCCCCCCCCTCCACCCCTCCCCCGTCACGCTGATCCCGCGTTGTATATCGTATATATCGCGATCGACGACACACCGCATGACACGCGACGATTCTCGGCGAGGTACTGCTTCCGGTATATATATATATATATATTCGTTCTGGGGATCATTACTTTTCGAGATGGGGCCCTCGCCGATCCGATCTGATAATTCCAATAAACGAGGGAACGATTTATTAGCGATTTAAATCCCTGCGACTACCGTCTGTCGAGAACCCGTTAAAGTTTATCGTATCGTATTCGTTATTAAAGGCGAAACCAGAAACGAAAATATCTCCGCGAAACTTCGAATTCTAGAAATAATTTTCTAAGAATCCTCGAGAGAGAGATTTAGAATTTCGAATTCTAAGAACGATTATGGGTTAATTTAATGCTTTCATTCGTCCGACGAGAGAAGAGGGTGAGTATTTTTATTCGACGAACGAAGGGGGGGTTATTCGAATACGTGTGCGCGTTGCTCGATAGGGGGTGCGTGTGAGAGAGAAGCTTCTTTTACCTTAAATTTAACACTTTACGCAGTAGACCGCTCGATAATGACAAGTTATTCGAGTTCCCGCTCTTGTTTTTCTCGACTCCACCACGGGATCGTCCCGCGGTAATCTCGATCTGCGACGAGCGTCATTGCCGCAAGTATGTGCGACGATATCATTTTTTTATTATTATCTCCGGAAAAAAAGTCGCGCGTTTCGCAGCTGCTCTGGCACGGGAAGAGCCTGGTGTTAATTATAATGTTATACTTCGGCAACAATATAAAAATACCGATCATTATACCATACACGACATATCACATCCTAAATAAATAATAAATAATAAGAAAATTCTGATATTTTATAGGAAGAATTAATTTTTATAGAAGAGATTTATACATCGTATTATATTGCGGAAAGGATGTAATTTACCGGTTACATATTTTTTCAAAAAATTTCTCGCATAGATATTATATATTTTTTTCAATTTTGATATTTAATTCATATTTTTTATAGATAAATAAAATAAATATATATGTGGGATTGATTGTGATAATGATAATATATAATGGTAATTTATAACGTAAAAAAAAAATATATATATATACATATAATTGACAATTAATTCATCGGGATATATCGTAGCAACAAGGCCCGAGTTTTATCGCGATTCTTATAATCGCTTCTTGTTATAATTAACTCTTCCAAGCTCTTCGTCTAACAATAGCGACAGGTAATTAGTAATTTTTCAATAAGCTCTTGTTTATACGTAGCGCCGAAAAGACCCCGATGATTAGCGTCG